TTCTTTTTCTCTTCATGAAAGCCTCTTTATGACAAACCATATGTGTGCAGGGTACATAGTTGAAGTAAATGTGACAGAAAGCATGGTTTGTGTGGCTTGCACATTCATCTGTTGGATTTTTTGTTTTTGACCTATTTCTTTAACCACTGAAAAAAGTGCACACTGGCTCCTTTGAGCATTTGCAACCTGCTTATAAACCACTTTTAACAAATAAAGCACATTACTGTTGCTTAATTAACTGGAAGGACTCACAGAGACCTTCGCTAAGCTTCTAGACTTATCTTGCAATTTTAAAGACCGCAATCCAGATCCACACCAAAATTTAAGGTGGACCTATAATGCTAATTTCCAGCTCCATATTTTTAATGGCTTTTTTCCTGTGCTCCACCTTATTTTAAAAAAATTGTAACACTGCTGACGGACAAACAAGCACAGACATAATTCCTTTCACTTATGCTCCACCTCCGTGAGGTGCAGTGTCCTGGGTTCATACCAGGGCAGGGCTCTTCTGCGCACTCCTCTAGGTGCTCTGGTTTCTTCCATCACTGAAACATTAATTCTCCTTTCATTGCACTGGTTTATAGCTGGAGTTGGCTGTATTGGCTGCATACTGCTCCTAATATTTCAGATGGCTTAAATGGAGAGAATGAATTTTCCTATGGGCATCTTTCAGAGGCATCTTAATCTTCTCTTCAAAGCGTTTCTTTTGTTTATAAAAGTGGTTAATCTAGCAAAATTCTTAATATCACTAGAACACATGATTGAGAGGCTTTTAGGAAAGTTTTTGTTGCTTAATGGTTATGTATTAAGATTTGACTTCCAGTCTACGTTGGAAATAAAGAGCAGCGAAGAAAAGCCATCATCCTTCTGGTCCCTGACTACTTTATCATAAAATTTTAATGAAGGTCTCACATCTCCGCTGTCACAGTCTGTCTTTCTTTGTATGATTCATCATCTTCTTTTCAGTTTTTTGTTATTTTTCTCACTTTCTTTCTGGCTCCTCATATCTCAGCTGGGCCCGTTTGCCTGACCTATGACCGGCGGCGTGCTCGTCTCTTATCCCTCTGAAGACAGTCACGTTACTGCATCACGTTGTGTAACACGGCAACCTGCCAGCCGAGGGTTTTCCCTCTTCTTTTGCTTTGTAAGGGATTATCCACGGCTCCCCTCGTAAGGCCTGAGCCCTCAATCCCATCACTCTGTTTCATCATCCCAGAGTCTGGCTCTCTTAGTCAGATGATGTAATAATCGAGTGGAAGGATGGCGTGGAGAGACAGACTCTGTCTGTCAAGATGCTCTGCAAATGAGTAACTGCAGTGCTCACGTTGCTGCCGGCATTTCTGGAATGTGTTGATTTGATTGGGAAACGCTCCCTAAATGAGGAATGTGTGCTGAATCTTTTCATTTTGCTGAGTGTTTGGGGGTTTTTGAGAAATCAGGCAGGTACATATTGATCAGTTTTAGCTGAGGGAATTATTATACTGTTATTTTTATTTGAAGTAACTGTTAACCTTGTCAGAAAATCAACATAGTATAGATGAGCAGCATACTGCTGTATTTATAACAGGTGAGCTGAAAGCCTCTGAGAAGATCAGATACATCACGTGAATTATTGGCTGTGGGAATGAGACTTTAAAAAATTACACATAAATCTGGATTATCAGCAGTCAGTTTTTATTATTGAAAATGTTTCTGTTGAATAAAGTGTTTTTAAAAATAATAATTAATACCATATCCAAATGTTGTCATTATAATTCAAGAAAATTTGCGATACTAATATTTATGACGATATAGAAAAAAATACTGAACAAGTTTCAGTAATGAGGGGCATTTTTCAACGAGCTGCTGTCAGTGATGACACACTACCGAAATTGAATTGCGAGTTTACTGAAACAGGGTGCCAGCAGCAGCATTGTAACACAGCACGAGTCAAATGGAAGTACAGGTGGTGTTTTCCCTGGAAATTTTAAGGAGACGTATAAAATAACAGCTTAACATGTTTCTTTTATAATAAGCAAAGTAACATAACTTTGTAACTCATCAAGAACCGAGCAATATGGTCATATTAAAAGTTTACTTATATTTTCTTGTGCTGTATAAGTCCTGCTTTTCTTCCATGTAACACATCAGTCATTTCCACCCATTTGCTCTTCTCTCTTGGCTCTTGCTGTCAGACATGCCGAGGCCATGAAACGCAAACACATGGTGTTACTATAGCAATGATATCACAATATAACACATGTCACATACAAATATTCACAGGTTTATCACATACGATAAGATGTGGCACAGCTATAGTCATTACACTTTAGCTAGTCTTGGCGGTTTATCAAGATATTTAACTACTTTTTAACTGTTTTTCCAACCCATTGAATTGAGTTTTGTTTTTCCCAAAAAGATCTAGCAAAAAAGAAGAACTAAATCTCTGGGTAGTGACCTACTGCTTTGTAACTCAGCTGAGGAACAGCTCTCTCTGTGCCCTGTTTGTTGTGTGACTGAGCAGCAATGCTTCAGTGACAGAGAGCAGCAGTGCAGCGTGAGAGGGGAAAAAACACTGAAAAAGTTATGCACACCGGTCATCTATCGAGCCATCCTCTTAATTGCTTATCCATCTTAGTGCCATTAGGGGTGCTGGAGCCTATCCTTACTCAGCAATTACTGTAAGGGTCTCAGTAACAGTGGGCTGTAGTTTCCCATGCAAACACTGGGGAAAAAACAACACATATTTGCAAGAATCAACCACAACGACGCTACAAAATTCATGATTTCAAGTTAAACTTGGTCAGTCCTGTGAAGAGCTACTGCAGAAGTGTTCTGTATTCAGGAAGATCAAATTATTTCTTTATTAATTAACAAGTATCGACAACTACACACTTCAGCATATGATCAAAAACGTAACATCACTGTAAGAGTGGCAAGTTGTTTGATTTGCACTATTTATAATAAGGCTTTTAAACCTTCATATAGTACATTGAAGTAAAAGCATGCTACATAAGTGAAAGTTAAGTGCATCCTGTTAAGTGTTAGTTTGGCAGCTTAATAAAAAAAATCAAAAAGTGTCATTATGGACATCTTTGATTCTTTAAAAGAAGGTTAAAAGAACAGGAACACAACATTTACAACTGTGCTAAGAGACAAACATCTCAGTTTTAGTGTCATTCCTGTGCAGCGTACTGTTTGTATTTAGATTGACTGAGTCACTTCTAGGCCACAAACACAGTGGAAACCATGTTACGCGTTCACAAGCACTAATATAACTGAAATAATCATCACAGGACTAAATTAGTGATTTGAAGTTAAACATGGAACAGTGCCTTTTCACTTGGCTTTCCAGACATGTTCCAAAAACATCTCAATTATTCTACGAAACCAGTATCCACAAAAAAAGGACAGATAACAAAGTATAAGCAAGTAAACTTTAAGCGCTCATACTTGTTGGTCAAAGTTGGTATCATTTGCTGCTGATTACTAGCAAAAATGTAAAAGACAGATGTCAGAAAATATATGTCGTGTTCGCTTAACAACAGTAAACAATAAAAAAAATAGAATAAAAAAACAACAACTAAAGTGAAGTTAACAGTTTAAGCCATCACTGACGGAAACCCAGTGCTCCCAGTATTTCCCAGGACTCCCAGGACAGTTTTGGTTCAGATAACTTTCAGGTTCCTCCAGTGCCTGGCCCAGCTTTGAGTTCTTAAGTGCTTTCAACTCCAGCCAAGGAATTAAAGATTTTAATTCCCTCTAATTGGAGAAATCTTATTCGCAGCCTCAGCGGCCCCCTGATTGCACAGTCATATGATCTGCACACATGACACACACACGACCTTTTGTAAATGGCTAGATTAGTTCTAGTGTTGCATAAGGCCTGCAGTTTGACAAATGTCATTGAGTTCAGTGTAATGGTGTAACTTTGACACAGAAGCTAAACAAAATGCAGTCTGCTGTGATAATCTACCTCACTATTGTTCAGCATTTATTAGCTTTAAGTTCAACCTCGGGTTTTTACTTTCAGCCATGATGGCAGAGCAGTGGCCACTAATGCAAAGCTCACTCTTTTTCAGTTCAGCCCTCGTACCTGTCCATTTTCAGTGAAATGTTTTTTGTTTGTTAAGCCCCTTAACCTATGAGTCATTGCAGCATAAAAATGGCTCCTATCACAAGGGATGAACCAGTGTTCTAGTCACACATAATTGACAACTTCACAAAAAAACATTTAAATGGTATTTTTAGGCCCTTCTTTATAGATTAAAAAAAGTGTATGTAGTGGTATGTCCACCTTTTTATACAGTCTATGGATGGATGGTTGCTTTTTCAGCATTCATTACAAAATGAAATCCATTCATAGTACTCACAGTATTAAATCATTCCTCTGTCAATTATAGGTACTTGAAAAAAGTTGAGGATTTATTGAGGGGCAGCAGATGAACTCTGGGACATGTGCTGCAGTAAAACTAGTCTAGTGGCACTGCTGGAAAAGGGAAGTGTCTGACAAAGAATCGATTTTAGCCGTTTCCTAACCTGCCACCATCCCATCAGTCTTGGGATCCTGGTTGTAGCTAATGTCGTGCCGTGTGCTGCCTCCTTCAGTTTTCTCACTTAATACATACAAAAATAGTGCAAATTTGTGTTAAATGACTTCTTCCTGCTTTGTGTTACATGTGAGAGAGAAGAACTACAAAATATCTAACCAGATTTTCTCAAACACGTGCACAGTTCATGTTTTAGCTCAGTTTTGGTCACATTAAAAAACTTCCAAAGCACCAGACAGCACACAGTCGAAGATGGGAGCTTTTGATGGCCTTCAAAAGAGATTGAGACCAAAACAAAGCAGAAAAGATGCATGAATGTTGGAGTTGATTTATCTGAACTGACTCCAGTGAGATGACGAGGCTGCTTTGTGTCTGCTGGATGTTGTTCAACTCTAAAAGTAGTTTTGATGTTCGGCCAAAACTTGCACACATTTAAAGTTCGAGCTCTCTGCTTCTCTCTGCTCTTTGCAGCCATCATGTACGTGATGGGAGCGCTGGGCCCAGCAGCTGGCTACCTGCTGGGTGGAGTCCTCATCGGCTTTTACGTGGACCCCAAGACTGTTGTCAACATCGACCAGAGTGATCCCCGCTTCATTGGAAACTGGTGAGAAGAGTCTGCCATGAGCCCATCGAAATGTAAAATATGTGTGTGTGTTGAAGTTGGTGGGTTTTTATATAAATTTCCATTAAAGCAAATACACTCTGTCAGTATCACTACTATTACCAACACAGTAAGTTAACCATTTGTGTCTTCAGTGTGATTCACTGGGTTTAGTGCTGAAGCTCACAAACGGGGCACTGAAGAGTATATTTTTATCCCCAGTTTCTCAGAGTGTTAGTGGTAAATAAACTGTATTACCTAAGTTTCAGTTCATTAACACAGTACAGTTCTGTAGTATCTTTCTTGGTGAAAGTGCTAGAAACACACTTTAGTTGGTACCTGGGGTGGATTCTAAGTTAACCCTTTGGTGATAATCAATGGCTCTGCCTCGGAGACGAGCAGGATTATGGATCTAGATGCATTTTTCAAAAATTTAATAAAAAGTTAAATTGTTTTGAGGTTCCATTTTGACCAATACTTTCCTCCTTTTCTCCAAATATAGCCAAATTAACGTGGCTGGTGAATGCTGCGCCGACTAAAAATGGAAACCGGAGAGTAAATACAGATTATAAATGTACATGTATCAGAAACGAGTCTAAAGAGATTTAACTCTCCAAGTCTCAAAACTTTGAAAGATCCAGTATTTACAAGTTTTGGTTCTATTTGAGGTGGTGATGGTGGAGTTATGTGTAAATGTGTGTCAGGAAAAGAGGCTCACACGCTTTCATTAATGAATGATTCATTCTGTTTATAGTTTTCTGTTCTGCAGATTTTTTTATTTGCACTCTAATGAAAAAAATAATAATGGTGCATTATAATCAGCTGCTTCTCCAGTGGGTCTCTCAACTGCATTCCTGCTCTGCAGCCTCTGAACTTGATGTAAGAGCTCATGAACCACCCGCTGCATTCTGGTTAGAGTTCACTTCTGCTGGCACTACTGCTGGCAGCTATAGTGCAGATCCTTGGAGTACATCTGACAAAGGTCATTGCAAAACTAAACTAGCTGGGGCTAGCTGCTTAGCAGCAACTCAGGTCTTTTACTAGTGAATTACAGCTGGCTTAAACTGGCCTCCTGCTGTGCAGAACACCATGATTTTCTTTTTTATGTATAAAAACTACAACAATTGGATGAATGTATCTTATTAACCTGCTATCACCCTTTCACTTGTTACACTTCTAAAAAGATCTTGGAAAAAATGCAACTAAGGAAAAAAGAAACAGAAATGCTACAATTTAATACTTATGTCCACCAATTACAGAGTCGATCATTTATTTGCTGTATGTGACTCTAACAGTGTCGCATTCTTCCTGGTACACGCTGTACTGCGGGAATATCTTGTTCTCTCGGCTTCCCCGTACTGTGGGTGCAGAGATGCAACGAGACCAACGTAGCTGTGAGCGCATCTGTGATTAAATGAGTCGCAGGACGGACACACTTGGGCGGCTCTGTATGATAGACTGGGGCAGTAATAACAGACAGAGTGTACTTCACTCAACACCAAATAATAGGACTCTGTTAAAGTCTGGAGGGGTAGAATACACTTTGTCCCTGTTCGTCTCTGTGTTAAATGTGTGAGAAGAAAAGGAAACCTCTCCCAACACGGTCGCATCTGAAAACAAACTCCGGGTTTGAATCCAAACCAAGACGTGTTTGGTCCTTAGGTCACGTTTTCGCACATATCATCTGAAAATCTGTTGTTGTGTGTGAGATGTGGTTAGTCATCTATTTAGAGCTCTCACTGATGCCTTCCTCTGACTGACAGCATAATCAGTGACTCACAAGCTAACAGCCACGAGCTTTCTACATGAATTATAGGTGATGTTAGCAGGAAGATGATGGTGTACCAGTTTATGTGCATATTAATGAGGCACATGGGATGATACCAAGTCTGAGGTTGAGTCTTTGGTAGCAAAAGGAGTAAAAACTGACTCAGAATTTAATAAAAACATGTGTTTTTAATATTTTACTTCAATAATCTCTGGGCTGTGTAGGTGGAGCGGGTTCCTGCTGTGCGCCATAGCCATGCTGCTGGTCATCTTCCCCATGTTCACCTTCCCCAAGAAACTGCCGCCCCGACACAAGAAGAAGAAGAGGAGGAAAAAGCTGAGTCTGGACGACCTGTCCAGTGACGACGACGTCCTCAAGGAGAAGAGCAACAACAACAAGACCCAGACGGTCACTTCGTCCATGGGCTTTGGCAAGGACATCAAAGGTACTGGAAAATCGATGATGTCAACTATTAGAGGAGTGTTTCCTAGAACTATGAGGGTGTGGGCTGTTTAAATATAACTCTTTAGTTCAATTTATTGACCTTAAAAGACGAGTTCAGACGGTCTTTCAAGTCTAATGAATGCAGAACCCAAGTCAGCCTCCTCTAATTGAATAACAGAGTAGAGGCTTATCGTGTAACTGCAGCTACCAGAGAAGAGAATAAAGCAGGAAGATTTCTACTATTAAGTTTCTACTATTAACTAAAAATCAGTTTGGGGCCACAAAACATATTTCAGCATTATAATGAAGGTGATACAGCTTATTGAGTATAAATAACCCTGTGAGCATGTCAGTAATTCATATCGTATACCACATGTTTCTGCTCTGCAATCCACAAACGTTTTATTTTCATTAAAGTAACATTGGGGTTTTTTTTGCATTTAGGAAACGTGACTAAACCCAAGAATTTGTCAGTTTTATTATGAAACAGTTGTGAAGTAGAGAGAAACAAAAACACCTGTTAGCATTTTTAGGCCTGCTTTGAAACAAAGTAGCTGTAACGCTAAGATGTCCCCTGTGAGACACTTTTAGTATAGAGAATAACTTCTACAATAGGATTTTAAAATAGGATGGGTACAGAGTAGAAAGATATAAAACCATCAGTTATATATCTCAGCACGCACAGCAACAAGTGAGGCAACAACAGATGGTTTAGAGCTGATCGTTGTCCACAAAAGTCCTGTTTTTGTTTCGTGTTGACCCCGCTGAAAGCCACAAGCCGAAACAATGAAATGACCACATACTACATTTGTTGCTGGAGCTTTAATCTCTTCAGGATTGCAACTAAATAAAAATATACTTTTTGCTACATCGCGGTAGCATCTTTGATGATTTAAGCAGACTTCGGTGTTGCTCAGGCAGCTCCTCCTGAAAAGCTTTGACAGCAAAGTCAAGAGAACGTGTTACGTGTTACTGCAAGCTTTTATTTTCTTCTGAGTGCTGCAAAGTTTGGAAAAAGAAGTCCAAATGGAGTTGGTTTCATTGCCCCTCTTCACAGCACTGATTTAGGAACATTTAGCCAAGGGGGTGGTTAAAGTTTTGATTTGAAGTGCCAAATCAAGGAAGTAGTATTGAAGGCTTCAATTTTAGCTGTTGTTCATGATTGTGAGGATTTTTACAGGCAGCCCTTGAAGGGCTAAATGGTTCTCTTACCCCCGTGTGAAATATTTCACATTTATTTACAGCCACTTTTTTCCCAGTTGAGTGGTTTTATTTATTTTGTGATAGTACAGCTCTGTTTGTTTCTTGTCATATTTTCTGTACTCCTGAGAGTAGAAAAGCTACTCTAAACCTGTGTGCAGTGAACAACGTGTGTGCAAATGTGTACAAATTTTGACAGCGTGCAGATTATGAGGACAGTTGAACTAAAGTGAACTCGTCAGTCTGTCTCAGCCATCTGTAGTTCAGACTGAATCACAAACGGATTTGTAAAAATCAGAAGGGTTTATTTTCACTGTTGTGACGCTGACAGAAAAAAAACAAAAGCTTTACTTTGTGTTCATGTTTTTTTTCTTCACCCTCTTCCAGACCTGCCTAAAGCCGCAGTGAGGATCCTCAGCAATGTGACTTTCTTGTTTGTCAGCCTGTCCTACACGGCAGAGAGCGCCATCGTAACTGCTTTCATCACTTTCATCCCTAAATTCATCGAGTCTCAGTTTGGGATCCCTGCCTCCAATGCTAGCATCTACACTGGTGAGTTAAATGTACACATTTTAAAGAGCATTTCGCCTCACCATCCCACCTCTGAAATCCTGCAAAGACTGAAAACTGGGCTCAATAAATCTGTTTTTTAAACTTAGAATTTATTTCTCATATTAAATGAAGCCTCCTGTGATTTTCCTGCAGACAGCATGCAGACAGACCAGAATATTCATACGACATCCAGGGCTTTAATTTGTGCAACTGCAGCGCTGGTTTTATCGGAGAGCAGAGCCAGAGAGGCTGTTACCCTAGCACTGCAAGCCAGCACATTAATAATAAAGCAACTGCTGTTCTTCAAATGAAGGGGGCACCTGGGACGCTGAGCTGGAGCACTGAGTGCATCACACACAAAACATTAAGAAACACACAAAGATACAAGCACATTAATGTCCTACATACACTCACAGTCACACGCCGATGCACATGCACACTTAAACGGGCATACAGGCTAATACTTTCGCTTAAACACAGAGCGTTTGAATGCTTGTTGTGCTGATTTTCTGTATTTGATCTGAACAACAACAATCTAGATGGATAAATAGCATTTCAATGTGTTAACTCATGGGTTTGTTTTTGGTGTGAACTGTCCCTTTAATTTGAAACTCCAACCTGAGGCGAATGCTGCCTTGTATCAGGCGATCCATATAGAAGTGTACAGTCCTGTTTAAAGCCATCCCGTTGTTGTGGCTGATAAATAAAGCAGCTGAAATGAACATGACACTCGGGGCTGACGACCTTTTTTAGTGGCTTTGGTTATTTGGTAGACGAGCTGTTTGCAGTTGGACCACATGTGGAAGTCTGCGTAATGCTGTTGTTTATCAGGTTTGATGAACTCTGCACATATGAAATAGCTTGCATGGTATACAAGTTTGTAAGAAGGAGTGCTTCAATTAGAGCAGGGGTGTCAAACATATGGAGGCTGGAACCTGTAAACTGAGAGCTGATTGGGACATACATTTGACATTAAATATATGTGCTGTGTATGTGTGGCCATTAATGTGACCCTTATTCACCACTGTGGGCCCTCATGAAACTGACTTGGACTATTTTAGGAACTGAAAAGTCAGAGTGAGGTCATTTATGATTCCATTTCATCCCAGATTTAGGAAGTTATTTTGTTACTGGAGAAAATATAAGGCTACTTACAGCTGCTCCCTTACTCACAGGGATAACTCCACACATTTAAGCTGGCAGACCCTCCTGATGCAGCCCCCAAGCCATTTGTGTCTCCTTCTGTAATCAAACCGTGATCTTGAGCTATGCTAGTTAGTAATAATGCTAATAATGAGAAACGTAAAGTGTTTCAGAAAACATTCGTCCATTGATTCTTTTTTTGCTGCTTACATGAGTCACAAGGGCGGCAGTCTAAGCAGAGATGCCCTAACTGGCCGCCTCCTCAGCCAGTCGTGTCCCGTCTCCAGATCTTCAGATTGTAAGGGACAAATTTATGATAGAAATTATTTTTATAGTGAAAAATATCAGAACCGTACACACAGTGGAGTCAAAAATGACCCCACTCAGTCCCTCTAAATGATTCTCACTCTCTGTACGGATTATTCTTTGCTTTGAATTTATCATTTTAATAAAAAGAAAACGAGCAAAAACCAAAACAAAACTTTGCCCTTTTAAAAAATTGATTTTGATTGCTGTCGTCAAAGAACAGCACATCATTAGTCACACTTGTAGGTAACCATGAGTCATCTGAACTTTCCACACAAAAAACTCGATTACTGAAAGCGGAGTTTATAAACACCCAACAAACTAGTGTTTTTCACACTGGTTCTGCATTAATGTTGTTTATTCCTTTCATTCCTTTTAGCCACATTAGTATGATTTTTCTCCAGGAAATTACATCTTGTTATCAGAAATGTTTTAGTGTTTGAGTTGCATAACTGTCTCAGCTGTAGGCGGAGTGGGCTGTGAAGCCTGTGATTAGAACTGCCACTCATATATATTTTCAGAATATGCCATCCTCCGGTGAGTGAAATAAAATTATTTCTTGGGAACCTGCTCAAAAGTTTGTGAAGGTCCCAGGACCCCAATTTGGTATCCACAGCTGTTCACTTTAAGGGGCCTGAGTGGGTAGAGCAAAGCAGGAGCCCCCACCAGCCTGGAGTTACGGCGCTTTCCCTTCCCTCATTCAGCAGAATAAGTAAGATAAAGTGTAGGATATAATTTTGTGCCCACGTCTTTAGAGTTAAATCCACAGTTTAGTGTTTTGTCCTCAACTGTGGAAAAAAATCACACTCTGTTTTTGCAGTTTAGTGTCTTCTGTACTTTAAAGCTTTAGTGAAAGCACGTTGATGTTGTGTAGCTGCACTTCTTTTAGCTTTAAACCTGCGAGTATCAAGAAAGAAACAGAAAATTCACCCACTGATCACTTGACACTGTTCTTAGAGCCCCAAACTGATTTTGTTATCAGACACTGCGTTGGACATTTGAACACAGGGTACTTTCTTTAGGAGCCTGCCTCAAGTGGCCTTTAGAGGAACTGCAGTTTTGTGGCACTTGCACATATCGGCTTCCGAGATTTTGATGCTTGGTTTTGGATTTAAATGGCCAGTCAGTCTGTAATCCACGTGTCTTTAGTCATGCTGGCATTGTGTTTAACATTTCTAGAACAATCTTGAACGTAGGGCAGGTTTCATTAAGGAGGAAGCATTGCTTACAGAGAACCAGACAGTGTGGTGAGCTTTTAATGACAGTCACTTAGGACTGAACAGATCTGGGGACTCCCTGAGGCTAACGGCTGGGCTTTTACCCTCGGGAACTACATAGCTTTATGGACTTTTTCCTGTTATAATTCCCATTTAACAGGAATGCACACGTGATATATTACACATACCAACTAATTACAACTTGCAACAGCAGTGTTTTTTGTGTGTTGTTGGGTTCGTGATATAGAGTTAAAAAAAAGCATGGAGCCGCTACTCTGAGACAGAAGCTTCCTCCGTTAGACTCCATCTTCCAAGCTGAGAGGACAGACAGCTGCACAGGACACATTATCTAACACCTACTGAGTGAAGAGAGCATCTCTGCTTGGGTTAGAGGCTTCACTCCCTCCGAGGCTACCCACACTATAAATGTGTGCTGTCATGGCAATGCAAAGCTGCCCGGAGGCGGATGTTGTTGTGATCGCTGCGTTTTCTTTAGGATCTCATTGAAGAGAAAGCGATAGCTGCAGTGGCCACAGCTACACAGTGTGCCGCCGATTTGATCTGTGAAAGTCCAGCTTGAAAGCGAGCTGAGGCTTGAACATATGCTTTGCTCACAGAGAAAATCATCTCTGGCCCTTAGTCCAGATAATTTACCCGCCTCATCAAACGCACTGTAACTATAGAAACAAAGTGCAGTGCGTCATACTCTGAAACGCACACACGGTAAAAAGAAAAAGTGAATTCACCACAATGTGCAGCCGCAGGTTTAATTGCTACAGGATTAGTTTATATTGACTTCATTACCCTGGTGAATTTATGGCCACTTGGTGGCAGAAAAGCAGCACAACTGAATTACCACGTCTAGTTTTTATGGCTGATGAGTCTGCAACACGCAGCGTCCTCAAAGACTCAAATATGAAGTAAAATTTCAAAGACAAATATTGCAGTTTCTTTAAAGGCCACTTGAGGCTGGCTACAAATCTCCTCCATTTTATTTTACTGTTTACTTCCTCTTAGAAGAAATTGGCTTAAATTGATAATCTCAAGCTTCCTAACAACTTATAGGATGCTGAATCTTTTTTTAAAATAAATGCATTTGGATGCTGGTTTTAGGGGCATGGCTGCTTTAATATACCAGTGTCCTGACCGTAGATGGTGTAAAAGATAGATGCAGCCGCAGCGATGCCACCAGCTGACGTCCTGTCATAGTGAAACTGCTGTGAAGCATTTCATTCGTCACCATCTTGGTTTTTTGAAACCAGGTGTGGTGAGTTAGCTCCTCTGTGATTTCCAGCTGTTACTGAGAAACATATCTGTGACTTTAGCTTCTAAAAATATTCTCTTTCTTCACCAGCTGACTTTACATTTTCTATCTTCTATCTTTCAATGATACCAGAGTCATTACATTTATTACTGATATAGAAAAAAATATTCCTAGAGATTTTGGGCTCCAAAAGGAACATTAAAGATGATAAACATTAAAGCCAGTTTCATGTTTCTGTGACATAACTTTCTAGTTATTTTATATTTTTATGAGTTTGCTTGACTAACTTGAAACAGCTTTGAATGAAACACATTTGAGGAAATATCAGTCAGTGTCTCCTCCAGTGAATTATCAGAAAGCAGGTCAACAGACAGTCCCAGTTCATTTGTCTGTTCCTCTTTGTCACAGATCTTGAATTGCTGCCGTTTTGGTATTGAAGCTTTGAAAAATCCCATAATAGAAAAGAGTCTTTGTTGCTTTGTTATCTCCTGTATTGATGAAGCTGTGAGGCCCCACCTCCATTTGCCTCATTATAAACTTTTCATAGTATAAAGGTAAAAGTTTCTGTGGCTGCAAGTTATTGTAATCTGCTGATCCTGAGAGGTACGGGTAAGACTTTTTTCCACATTTGATTATTTCTGTTTGCTTGTCTTTGTCTCTTCAGGTGTGATTATTGTACCCAGTGCCGGCGTGGGGATCGTCCTGGGCGGCTACATCATTAAGAAGCTGAAGCTGGGCGCTCGCGAGTCGGCCAAGCTGGCCATGATCTGCAGCGGCGTGTCCCTGCTCTGCTTCTCCACGCTGTTCATCGTGGGCTGCGAGAGCATCAACCTCGGAGGGATCAACATCCCCTACACCACCGGGTAAGGAGAAGCTGGGCGGGTGAAATCCGGGGAGGTGGTGGGTCGTGCTGCATCCCAGCTGACGAGAAAGACTGACGTCACTTCGGCGTCAATGCCACTTCATTCATGTCTGAATTGAGTCTTTACACTGGGTCTGTGTGTGCTGTTCCTGCAGTGATGTGGTTGTGGAGGATGTAGAGAAACACTCAAAGGATGGAGGAGACAAAGACGAAGCTAAGAATAAACAGACAGAAGTAAAAGAAAATCAGACTGACTGAGGAGGAGGGTTGAAGAAACTGAGTAATGAAAGCAGCTGAAAGAGTGAAGTCAGCCAAATAATACAGGAAGAAGGTGCTGTGTTCTGGCCTAGTGGACAACATGGAGACTTTATATTTGTTTACCAGTTGTTAGCCCATATTGACCATTTGTGACCCCTGTCACAGAATGGAGATATTACTCAGGTACAGGAAGTGTCTTGATGCTCAATTATCCAGGTAAGTGAATCTCCAAAAGTTGATTCTGTTCATCTGGTCGTAGCGTTTTGTGGGAACGCTACGTCCAGATGAACAGAATCAACTTTTTTGAGGTACAGGAGGTGTTTAGCTCAAAGTTGTCTTGGCTCACGTTCACATCATAAACAAATTGCTCTGAAGTTTGTTAAGACATGACTGAGACCTCCTCCAAAGGGTCTCTGTGGATGTTTTCATCAGCACCAGAGTGATGACTGTGTTCACACCTGCATCTGTGAACCGCACCGAGAGGAAAAAACAGCCCAGAGTTTGATTTAAACAGACTAAACAGCGCATTGTGAAAACACACTGATAACAACACAAGACATTTTGTGACAAAGTTTTTCTGTGTGGCGGAAAAACTAAACATCCAAACACCAGCCTACAAGCAGACAAAGCTCTTGCAACGTGCATTCTTGCACTTTGAAGTCATGTCCAGGACATTTATTACAGCGTTTTGTTGGCCGATATTTGTGTAAAGGACTGATGTACTGCCTGTTGCTAGAGGCAAAGACAAAAAGTACATCTGTACAAGAGGTGGGCGATGGATTTTCTGGATCTGTGAATGGTTCCCCTGTAAGGCAGGCATGAAACTTAGTCACAGACACAGAGAGTCACAGACGCCCTGCACGGGTCATCATTCCTGTTACAGTTCACGTAACGTCCAACTGAAGGATGCATGCATAGTCGGTGGCACTAGCATTTGTCACTTGGACCAGAGTGGATCCTAGAAACGTCTTTAAGACTAACAGATGTTTAAGACCTCTGCCAGAAAACAATGGCGATGTCACGTGATCCAAAGGCTTATGCTGCCTACCTTGGACCTCACAGGTTATAGGTCGGATTTGGAAAAACGGGCGGTGACGTGCTCTGAAGATGGAGCCATTCAGCCATCAGTGCAGTGCCTGAGTACAGCACAGTGTCTATATTTTTTCTCAGTCTAATAATACAGCTGTAGCACTTTCACTGATAGAATCCAGTCGGTTCTCTGTATAAGACTTTTTTGCGTAGCTGCAAATACTGTGTGAACAGTGAACACAAAGTTCAGCAGTTATACTTCCAACTTTGCACTTGAAATAGAAAGCAGCATTAACTCAGTCGGTGTCCAGACTGAAAAGTACATCGTGGTTATAATATCATTATAGGCCCTGCTGCTTGCACTGACAGTGGCTGGTGTTGTAAGCAGGCTATAAATAGTCTAGTTTGCTTGTTTGCTAATGTTGCTGACATGGTACTGTAATGAAATGGTGCCTTCATGTGTCTTAAAGATGATCAACCGAACCTGGAGGCCTGGCTGATTGTGAAATGCTCTCTGAATGATTTCATTCAGCCCAGTTTGTCACTTATAACAGACTGTAACCATAAACCTCTGCTTTTCACTGTAAAGGGCATCTGCAACTATTTCAATACTGACTTCCAGTGACACAAAAATACATTTGTTACCTACAATCACACGAAGCAGAAAGTTTTCCCCTATTTCTTTTCTTCTAATTGTTTCCTGTCACCCGACTGACGTATCGGTGACGTCTGCTCCGAACTGGTCTGTTTGTTCGATCTTAAAAATTTAGAAAATGTCAGAAAAAATTGGCTTCACGGTTTTCCAGGTGACATTTTCAAAGAGCTTGTTTTATCTGACATACAAAAAGTCAAAACTCTTCCATTAAAAAAGGTAGAAAAAAAACCTCATGAACCTCAGGAATGTGTTGGTTTATCAGCGTTATTATCTGTTCATTTCCTGTACTGCATTTTTTAGCATTATTCTTATTCAGAGAAACAGAATAACTTCTTGGCTGTTATTTATTTATTTATTTACTAGGAAACCTTGGTGGGCATATCCTCCAGCTTTATAACTATATAGCCTTTATAACAGCTAGATGGTTACTGAAGACAATTAGCAGCAGGTTTATTTGTTGACAACATAATAGGAAAAAAAGAGATTTTATCCTTCAGAATAAAATATCAGGCTAGTTTTCTTAAAATGATATAGCTGCTGTAAACCGAACAAACTCAAATCTTTGACATGAAGCCATAATAATACATCTTTTCCCCTGCAATCATCCCACACAGTTCTGAAGTTCATTTTTAGTCATGTTTTTAGAGGCGGCACAAGTTTTTGGCCAGATCTGCTCCATTCAAGTCTGCAGTTTCATCAACCTGACAGCCCTTAGTTGTTTTTTTCAGCACCTCCCCTGGTGTCGTTCTTTTGCTTCTCCTTCCAGATGTAAACTTGGAATCCTGACTCTTTCCCTGAAACCGCAGACATCCGTTTGCCGACTGCAGCGTGGCCTTTCTCCTGTTTAATCATTTCCCGGTCTGACCGAGTAGGTGGTAGTTTTCATCACCCCATCTGTGGCTCATGTCAGGGAGGAAGCGAATGTTCAGATGAGTGCAGGATAACAGATAACGAGCCAGTGAACGGAGGCGTTTTCTTTTGCACAAAGCGTCCCTGAGAGCGATTACATGGCAACCGTGGAAAATGTCCAAGGACAGCTTGGAAGAGAGGATCTTTGGCTGCGTGCCCTCTCTGTTTTCTCTCTCGTTTGTCCCTCTGGTCTTTTTTTATTTCCCTCTGTGAGTCTGTCTGTCCCTTTCGCCCTCCACTCTTCATGTTTAATTCTTTTCGATTCCCTCGCTTCTGTCTCCTTTTCCTCGTCCTCTCTCTGCTTTTTCCTCTTGTTCGTCTGTTGTGTTTTGATGACATCTGCGGTCGTCCATCCAACCCTACTGCTTAACTTGTTGTGAACAAAATAGATCAGGACGTGCCAGCTTGGCACAAACTTTTAAATAGACGAAGGAAAGAAGAAATGATTCGTTTTTCTACGTCTAGGACCAAGGCCACTGTGACCTGAAAACAGCTTGTTTTGCCCATAACTTAAGAATTCTAGTTTTTCTTTTTGGCTTTTCCCAAACACGTCAAATCGTCTGAGTGTTCAGTGAATTTCTTTATCTGTCAGATTTCTCTGAAGAAGATTTGTAACTTTTTCCTCACGCAGTGTCATCATTACTAAATAAAATAATGGAGAAATGTACCGAAAGTGCTCATTGAAAAGCTGTGATGACTTTTCCATCAGCCTGAGCTTTACTTTGATGCTGCTTATCAGTAATGTGTTAGACAAGCAGTCACTATGCGGATCATTGCGAGCAAGAAATGAGCTTTTACACAGTGTTTAGTGTAATGATGTCGCCTGTTAACAGACTGAATTTGACTTAATGCCACTAAGTGCTGGGATTAATTTGTTTTCAGTGTTGAACACTCAGAAGTGGAATAGCTTTAAAGGAAAATAACTGTCTAATTAAAAAGGTTCTGTTTTCTCCCTTCAGACCTACACTCACTATGACGCAGAGGAACCTGACCGGAGGCTGTAATGTGAACTGCGGCTGTAAAATCCACGAGTACGCTCCGGTCTGCGGCTCTGATGGCATCACATATTTTAACCCCTGCCTAGCTGGCTGTGGCAGCGTGGCCAACGACAGCACTGGGGTAAGAGGCCACGATACCTGTGTCTTATTTTTTTAAATGTTGACACTAAAACATCTTAAATTCAGTCTAAGATGTATTGTAAATGTTTTGTTTCACTATTTTCTGCCCACGGCACGTTGTTTTCTCAGCTTGACTGTTGCTATTTTCAGCTCATGCAGCTCCGTCCTCTCATCCACAGGCAGGTCGCGGCAGATGGCCGCACCCCCCTGAGCCTGGTTCCTCCTGGAGAATACTTCCTGTTAAAAGGGAGTTTTTCCTTCCCACTGTCACCAAGTGCTCGCTCATGTTAACTGGGATTTTTTTTTCTGTATTATTTTAGCAATTTACCTTAAAATATAAAGCGTGTTGTTGTGATTTAGCGCTACATAAATAAAACTGAAATAAATTAAAGGATCAATAAGCTCATAGCAGAATTGCTACTCCACCTACAGCATTGGTCCAAATTTAATCAAACTAGCACAAACTAAAGGTCACGTATGTTATTTTTACTGGGAACAACCTCTGAACTGTGATGGAGTTTGGTGATGTTCTCAAACAGTCATGATGTTTGCTGGGTTAGCTTCTTTAAACCATTCAGCTTCTTTTTTAAATTAGAAACAGGTTCTAATTTGGTATATCAACTGATGTAGAAATTATATTTTTCTGTTCTTTTCAAATTAATAATTGCATTTAGACAGTGTTCTTGAACTTAACTGTTACTTTATAAATTATTTCGAAGTGAGATGGAAGAAGGTTTAGATAGTTTAGATGTGCTTTTCCCTCAATATTCATTTTAAAAGGATCCTCAGTTTAACTTGTTTGAACTTGTAAACACTACGGGGTAGTAGTAACCTGGACACTATCCTGGCGTTGTATATGTGTGATTTCAAGGCCAAAAACCAGAAGATTTTAATTATTTTGGCAAAAGAAGCAAAATGTTACCAAAAAGTTCTGTTTAATTCATTTTGTTGTTATTATACAAGCAAAGCCAACACAATGATATATGCAGTATTAATATGTAGGTGCAGCACAACACAACACAGTAATGACACAACACAGTAACATAATAGAAAAGCAAAAACATAAAATGATATAAAAGAGGATAAAATGAATAAAAAAAATCATGTAGATTAATATAAAGAAAATAAAATAGCAGATTAGTGATTTATAGGTAATCTGTTGTTACTGATAAAGTGTCAGAGTGTGGCAGGTTCTGATCCAGTGATTATGTGTGTTACAGTGTGTGACTGAGTTCAGTGCTTATGGTGCACATGATTGGAGAGACAGATTTACAGTCCGGGAACAAAAAAATCTGTTCCTGAGCCTTACAGTGTGAGACACTGGTACTGTTTCACACTCGGTGGGGGATCAATGTTGAAAGGGGGAGTGGGGTCATAGTTCATGTTACACGCATGCAAGGTAAAGCGTTTCAGGTAGCAGTCTTTAACGGCACGTAGCGGGTGCCAACAGGACGCTCTGTTGGTTTCACTAACCGCTGCAGGTGCAGTGATCGTACCAAGCTGTTGTGCAAGATGTTACCGTGCAGTGGTAGAAGCTGTCCAGATGGAGCCTTTTCAATCTCCTCAGGCAGTGGAGGCATTGTTGTTGCTTATCAGGAAGTATATAGAGACCATGTCAGGTCCCCAGAGGCATAGAGACCAAGGAACTGAAAGCTCGTTATGTTCTCAGCTTTACCCTGTTGTAGATGGGGCTCTGTCTACCTTTTTTGGACTTTCTATAACGTTAAGATCAAGGTTTTTGTTTGAGTCAGCAGATGCTGGATCTGCCCTCTGTAGGCCGTCTCGTCATTATTAGATGGAGGCACTTGGATAGGTTTGAAAGAGTAATAAAAGGCCTTTATTTTCCCAGTGCTAAAGACATTAAAAATACACCAGTGCAAATCTTGAGGGTGCAGTCTACTCGCCCACTGTTAGACTGCCATATGAGCAGCAGTGGTTTGAGGGACACTCCTGTTACTTTCTGTTTTTATTTTAAAGGATTTGTTTGGTTGGTCTCATTTAATTCATCCAAAACTGTAGAACCGCAGCAACATCTGCTTCATGGCTTTCTCACTTGTTTTTAGCAGTTACATTAATGTCTAAAGGAATAACATTGTGAACCATGTGTCTAAACTTCCATACGTATCTTCATTTGCCCTCCAGATCCGAAACTACTCCGACTGCGCCTGCGTTCAGAGCCGGCAGGTCATCACGCCGTCGACCGGCAGTCAGGGCAGCAACCAGCTGCAGCTCGTCATCGTCAAGACCTACCTGAACGAGAACGGCTACGCCGTGTCGGGGAAGTGCGACCGCACCTGCAATACGCTCATCCCCTTCCTCATCTTTCTCTTCATCGTCACGCTCATCACTGCCTGCGCTCAGCCCTCCGCCATCATTGTCACCCTCAGGTACGCCTTTATGAATCACTCACTGTGAGGAGGATGGGATGTCAATGTTTTGTTCCAACTAAAAGTCGTCAGCCTCTTTGGTTTTTAAGTAACTGCCTCTCTGCAGACCAGGTGTTCGTATCACCTTTCTGAGAAAAAAAGAAAACATTTTTTATTTTTGTAGGAAATGAGTTTTCAAAAATAATCAAAAGTGGTGGAAAAGTTGAAGAAACTTTACTGACTGTAGACAAACTGTGAGAGTGAGAGGCGACACTGTTGACTTACTGGTTGATCTACATCCCCTCTCTTACCTTATGGACAGCTGGCCTGCAAGGAGCCAATTGAGATGGTTTAGGCATATGAACAGGATGCCTCACGAGCGCCTCCTAGGTGAGGTGTTTTGGGCATTTCCCATTGGGAGAAGACCCCTGGGATAGTACTGGGATAGTGCTGGGATAGTGCTGGCTTGGGAATGCCTCAGTATCCTTCCCAGATCAGCTGGAGAGGTCTGAGCATCTCTTATTATACTGATGATGTGACGATGAATTTGAACGTGAACATTTCTTCTTTCATCCAAGTGGCAGTACTATCAATACTTTCCAAACTTTATCAACTCAATTCCCACAAAGTCTTTGGACCTTTTAAATGTGATCACCACATACAGTAAAAATAATAACTGTGTAACTACTTTGTCTGATGGAAATGTATGTATTTGATAGATATTTCTGAACATTCGACAAATAAAAATGTTAACATCATTAAAGGATTCAGGCATGGGGCCACTTTCGATTTAAAAATGGATAAGTGGGTCTTTGTTAAGTAGATTTGTATCACGCAGTAGGACAGTCAAGTAAGATGAACATAATAAAGCCAAAAACACAGATATTTGTTGTGAATGAGCAGAATTGTTGCTGAATCACGTCTAAGCTGATCAAGTCTGCCGGCATCAGTCTTGTTATCTTTATCTGATAACAAAGCTCTCCTGCTCTCATCCAAACATGGTGACGTCTGTGTGCAGAGTCAGCAAACTTTAGAGTTTTATCAGAGTCGACTGGTGAATCCCCGCCCTTTTAATGTCCCTGTAATCCACTAAGATTAAAGGTAATTTGGCTAATGCTTGAAAAAAGCTGTAAACATAAACATGGTTATGTG